AAAGCTATTTTCTTTGCAAAGCCAAAGATGTAGTATGCTGTCTGGAAGATAATACTTGATCTATGCAGTGTGAGAGACCAAGCTGAAGTAAAAGACTTTTGGTCCTAAATCAGGGCTTTTGTTACACAGATAAAGGAACTGGTAGTTTATTTATTATTCTGATGCTCTAAGTTCAATAGATGCAATTCTCCCTTACTTTATTTTAAGTTACTGCTCTAAAAAACCTTAGTTGGCTAAAAATGCCCAGTCTTTTGCACATCTTTGGCAGATTTTGTGCATTAAGAGCAGTGCTCTTTTCTTCTTTTTTTTTTTTTTTTTTTTTTTTTTTTTTTTTTTTTTTTTTGTGCATTTTGCAAGCATCAAGAGAAGGGAAGTCAGAGTATGGATATTACCTGTGTAACTCTGTCTGCTGCCTGAGTCACAGACACTGGCTGCAAGGACCCACTATCAATACTGGGATCTTCTGTGCCACTTGGGATGATGGAAAAGTGTAAGGAAGGTGGAGTGAGACTGAGGCAAAGTGTGCAGGTGAGATGATGGGGTGGGGATTGTATTTTGGGGAAGTTGCAGTACAGTAAGGGAAGAAGTGGCCAATGGACCCAGGACTTTCAAGCTCACTTATAGTTTAATGTGGATTTAAGAGCTAATGCAACTTCTGTTGGTCCTATTAGTACTTACCAAGCAAAGATACAAAATCCTGAGCTAGTTACTTGTGAGCTTTTATCACTTGCAAGCAAGGTCCTCAAATTTTAATGCCCACGTAGTGAAACAGTTTCTGTTTGCGTAATTAATGCCATCCACAGGCAATGTAATGTCTGACCTCTAACAAATTCTAGAACTTAAACTTTCCAGCTGCATTTATTTTAAAAAGCTGCTGTGGCTATCTGTCAGCGTTGCTCAGTTGTTGCTTAATTTAACAAGAGTTAATTTAGCAGATGGCGTATTGATAAATGTGTTAGAAAAACATATACATTGGCAAAATTTTACTGAATTGTGTATTAACTTTGTGCTTCTATTGTTTGTTGGTTAAAATAAATGTTCAGCCCTTGGTTACCTTCTTTCTGTTACCATTGTCCTGTTGGCTTTTTTTTTTCTTTAATATGTTTCTGTGCTTAAAATACTTGTATATGTGGTTTGGATTGTTGTCTGAAAGCTTTTGATGTCAGTACTGCATTCTTGCTGGTTTCACAGAGTACTGAGCATCTTAAGACCTTTGACTGTTTTTAGAGTTATGATTTTGTAAATAATAATAATAATAATAATAATAAAATTTAAAAAAATCACCTTACAGATTTACCAGAATGTATAGATTTATTTCATAGAGTTACCAAAATGTATGGAAAAAGTTAGCTAGCACATTTGGTCAGAGAACCATATGACCCAAAGGCCTGTTATTTGTGTTGACTGGAGATTTGAGAGGAAGTGGTAGGAGGCCAAAGTATGTGTGGGAGAGATGAAAGTGAGCTCCTGCAGTTCTGGCTGCCTTCTCCAGGACAACTTGAGCTGAGAACCAGGTGCTGCAGCCCTGTGTGACGCTGGCTGCTTCTCTCCTTGATGTGTCAGTGTCAGGACAGATCATAGGAGAAGACTGGAAGTAAAGATCTGTGTCCTTATATGACACTGAGAATCAAGCAGGGTTGAGAATGAAATCCAGGTTGCTGACAGCATGTTTAATGTTTTAGGCATCCTTTTTTCCATCATGGCATTCAGAAGCATAGTGGCAGAAACTTTTAAAATGCATAATGTGATATTTGTCATTAGTGCCTTTGCTTTGTCAGAATGCTGAATTGAATTCAAATCCCAGAATTTCAGTAGATGTGGAAGTGAGGGCCAGCACAGACTGTAAAACAGTTTGTATTCTACCCAAGAAGCTGATTATACCTATTGGAACAGTTCAGTAAATGGAGTGCTATAAAAAGCAAATTTGAAAAACTTAGAGAATACATTTCAGTTTGCATTACATTTCCAGCCTTCATTGTGTATGCTCTATCTTCAAGTAGCTGGAAGGTGCATTAGTGCAGGAAGCATCACTCTTAGCTCAAAAGGAGCACTGTCTTTAAGGAAGCAAGTGTGCCTGCTCAAGGATGGGACTCATTTGGCTGCCTTGGTAATGGCAAACATGGTGTTTTTCTCACGTGCATTTTTGGTGATGTGATGTGATGTGACAGTCAGTTTGTGGCCACAACAAGATGTCCGTAAAGGAATCCTATCGAAGGTGTGGAGGGTTTGTAACATTTAGTGGATCTGAGAACACTTTAAGATGCAGAGCAGGAGTATTTGCTGCAGCTCGTTTGCTTCAGACAAACCCAAAATTGGATGTGGCCCCTGGTAGCTGTGCTCTCTTCCTAGAGGTGTTGTAGTGTTTGTAACATGGGATTATAATGTTCTTAGAGAAGGTTTGTGCTGCTCTTTAGTGCTTCTATTGCCTTTTCTTCTGTGTTTTAAGATACAAGAATTTCACTGTTCTGAAGGATGTTTCTCTGCTTCTGAAGTCCTTCAGTTACATTGTATACAAATTGTGTTTGATAAATGTTTTTTTCAGCATTGTCATGCAACAGATTTTCATTTTTTTTGGGACAGAAGAGGCATGTGTACAGGATCCTCATTGTACAACCTTCCCTTGGGATGTAGGAGACCCAGATTTTAATTCTCTTGACCTAGAAGAGAAATACAGACATACTAAGTCACATCAGAGACTCATTTTGTATTCATCTCCTGTTGTGTTTCAGACAGGGCCAGTAATAGATGAATAAGCTATAAACAGCTCAAGAATAGAATGGTGCTTCTGTCTTTTTATGTCTGCATCTTTGTGTTTAGTAGCATTTGATGTACTTTTTGTTACATAAATTCGTCTAACGTTAGATCAGATCTTCGTGTCTCAGAAGACAGACTCAACTCCTTTCATAAAACAAAGAGGGAAGTATTTATGCAAGGCTGCAGCTGGTGGTGTTTCAAGGCTGGTTCCAGGCAGCTTAGCAGCAACCTTTGCCTTTCGAAATGTGCAAAATCTGAGCTCAAGTCTCCTTCACTTCCCTGAGCAGAAGGATTGGAATTGTGCAGAGTAACTAAATGGAGAGAGTGATGGGTGGTTTCTAAAAGAAGTGACATAACTTAGGAGAGGATTCATAGTTGAAAAGCCTGAAAACCACAGAAACCTTTCTTAAGTTTGAAGACAGGCAGAGACTACATTTACACCTTCTGTTGACCACTTAGTTTTCTCTGAGCAGCTTGTTCAAAGGTACGGTATAAGGAGAGGTGAGTGAGAGTGAGAGGTCTCTCACTTCCTGTGGGAGTCTGGAACTTGCAGCCAGACATTTATTTTCCTTTCAGCTCATTTGGTTTCATTTTCTCTGAAGAGGGTGACAACTAAGCAGGTTCACATATTCTTTCCCACACAGTAAATTCTTTTTTCTTCTTGATGGTACTGAGGGATTGACCATGCTTCTAACATAAAATTCAACTTTACATGTGAGCTTCCAACTGCATTGACAGAACTTACCAGATGAATCCATGCAATTTCCCACAGTGTGTTCACTGACATGTCTGTCCCAATGTGCTTACACAATCTCAGATTCAACAAACATGGCACCACCTTACTCATCCATTGTGGCTGTGTTATGTGGCTGCCTACAGATCATCTAGCATCGTCTGACTCGCTGTGTATGACCACTTCTTTTTTTTAATGCTTTGTGTTGCTCAGCACAGCTAGAATTAAGCCCTTAATAATGTTTTCATTATTGCTTTCCCAGTAGGACACAGGGTGTCAGCAAATTGCAAAGTAAGCTGCACCAAGAAAGGAATTTTGGAATACTTGCAGAATTTCAACAGGAGAGACTTGAACCTCTTGGGGTTTGCTGCATTTGGGAAGCAGTTGCTCATGTTAGCTAAAAGCCTTTCTTCTCCTGCAACACCATTCTCTTCTTTTTGTCACATTAACCTTCCTCCACTATCTCCACAAAGTGGCCTTCATGCAATCTGGCATGTCAGCTGTTGCCTTTGTGCATTGTATTGGGGGTGGGATAAAGTGTTGTAAGCTCTTCAGCCCTGGTGCTTTGTAATACATCATGAATGCTGATAATGCTCTCATTAAGAAAAAAGGAAAAAAAAGCAACCAAACAAACTCACAATTAACAATAACTAAGCAGATTTGGGAACAGTGAGTTTCCAAAAGGAGTTCCACTTTCAAAGAAGATTTTCTTTTTCTTCCCCTTTTTAAAGCTGTTCGACTTGGTATTTTCATTATAGAAAACTGCACTGTTAGGAAACACTCATGTAGATATTAGTATTACATGCTTTATCTTCAAAAAGCCAGTTAGTATTTGGATGGAAGTTAATCTGCCTCACAAGTATAATTCACAACCCTTGTGTTAGAAGTAGCAGCAAGCAACCACACTGCAGAACCATATCTTAAGAATGAGAAGTACTGGCCTGCTTCTGTACATCTGTCCTTCGTGTTTCTATTTTGAGAGGCTTTTTCCACTAACCCAGTGTGTCAGTATGAATGCCATGCAGAGAGTACCATCCACTGCAGCAGAGCTCCTTCAGGGAGAGAGCTTAATCAACCCTGAGGTGAGTTCTTAAACAGGGAAGGTGACAGACTGTGGAAATGAAATAAAGATGTGAAATATTTGAAAACAAGAATGTGAGACTATCTCCTGGAGAGGAGCAATTCTATTGCACACCGTAAGGCATAAGCAGAATTCTGCTACACATTGTGTGGCATAAATAGAACATCCATCCTGACCTCCCTTACTGCAGTGAGTACTTGAAAAATCAAACTCGGGTGGACTCTCTAAATTAGACCAACAACAACAGAAAACATAATGAAGCACCAGTGATGTAAAAATTAAGATTTTACAGCTCTGGCTGTAATTAGCAAACTGTCATACTGCATTATCATTTGGAAGCAGAAGGGAGGAGATGGAGGAGTGAATGCCAGAGAGCTGAAAGCTGAAGTCACAGCTCAGACTGACCTCTGAATGTCTGTTTTTCATTGACAGGTTGATGACGCCAGGCAGCGAGATTCGATTTGTCCATAAGCACATGGGCCTGGTGCCAGGCTGGGGAGGAGCCGCCAGGCTGGTGCAAATTGTTGGCAGTAGAGCTGCCCTCCAGCTGCTGAGCGGGGCTCGTGGGGTGGACCCTGAGAGAGCGCTGCATCTCGGGCTGTCACAGGGGACCTTGTCTTCTTCAGATGAAACTGAATCACTAGAAGAAGCTCGAGCCTGGCTGAGTCAGTACACAGAGGGTCCAGCTAGTGTGATTCGAGCTGTGAAAATGGTGGTCACAGCTGGAAGAGAACTGCCGCTGGAAGCTGCCTTAAGGACAGAGAAGGATGTTTTTGGAACTGTGTGGGGTGGGCCTGCCAATTTGGAGGCATTGGCTAGAAGACAAAAGCATAAGTGATTGTCAATATATAATAAATATTCTTGATATTTTACACACGAAGCTTTCACCAAAGCAGATAATAGATTGACTCGTTTAGTGCCACTTTAAAGGAACAAGTTCTTAACATTCCTGTCATTCATGTCTGGCAGACATATTTGGTGTGCAACCACACAGTAATCCCCAGAAGATCCCTTACTGTTTTAATCACCTACTGAATGAAGATTAGTGAAATTCCTATGTAAAGGTAAACACTGTGCTTAGAATAGAATCTAATTATTTTGGAATGAAGCTGAAGATTATTTTCTTTGGAGTAATTTTGTTTTTTCTAACTGGTATAGAAATGAATTGTGTGAGAGATTAGAGGTTTCTTTATTTACAGAACAGGTGTGCCCAAAGCTCTAAAAGCTCTAAAACCTTAAAGCAACTTTGAAGCTTTGATAACTGGTAAGAGTATCGTTTTTCATCTTCAGTCAGTTCTTGGTATAATTGTTCAGAAAGTATACAAGGATGTGTTACTTTTTAGGTTTTTGGGTTTTTTTTTTAGAGAAATTGTTCTAACTCACCCAAGAGCTTGTAGACTTTATTTGCTGTTGTGGATCCGGATCTTTAAGTGCATTTAGGTGTCTACTCACAGCTTTGGAAACCAGCTACCAACAAATGCATCTGTGCATTCCCACAGCATTGGTCTGTGTTGCTGGGCACACGCAAAGCTGCTGACATCATTTTTCACTTTGAATCTTCTTGAAATTTTAGAAGATTATGGTGTATAATGCTCCCAAATGCGATTTTTTTTTAAGCGAGATGCTCTCGGTACTTCAGCATTCATGGGAGACGTGTCTGGAAGGACTTGTTTTCCTATTACTAGTAGTACATGTTTGGGCTGTGAGAGACCAGATCATTGGAACTCAATAACCGTGTGTATGGGAACCGTTAGGTCACGGCCTGAACCAGTGATTGAGCACCTGGTGAAGGGACACAGCCAGCCCTGGGATCACAGTGGAAGCAATTCACCAGTGCAACCACAAGGGGTGAACCCAGGGTCTGCCCCTCACTAACCTCATTTAAGGGCTGGCATCAAAAGGGAAGCAACTCTGCTTAAAGATCATCTCCCCTGGTTGTTTCTAGGGAACCCTGATCTTGGGAAAAGGGGTAAGCTATTCATTCTTCATTACTGGGTTGTGACTGTTACCTTTCCTGGGTGATTCGAAACTGCTTAAAGGCAACTGTATCAACTGTCACCTTTCTTACACCATGCTAGTGTGACTGTGTGAATTACTAGATAACTCAGCAGGGAGAGTTTTTCCTTTAGAAATTAGAAACTGAGACAGAGTCCCTGCTTTGGCTGATGATTCTTCATTTAGAGTGCAACATCTGTGAAAGCAGAAACGTACAGGCATATCCATAACTGAGAATTTCCTATACAGCTGATCACCTTGTCTCTCAATCCAGTGATAATGAGGGCTGGACCTGGGACCCACGTACCCCAGGGGAGCATGTTAAGGAGGAAACTCTGGACTATTTGGCATGGATGTGCATTCTTGCTCTCACTAAGCGTAACTAACTAGGTGCATGGTTCAGAGTTCCTTAGGAAAAGGAAGTGATTCCTTGCATGAAAATCCATGTTATGATTTTCACAGTATGGTAGGATTACCAAGCTTGAGACAGTGAGTTAACTATATGTAGGTTTGGGGATTTGGGGACAGATCAGTGACAGGGAATCAGGCTAAATGGCCAGCTAAGATTCTGTAGCTTTTGAGTATATGCTACGTTCTGCTGGGTATTTTATTATATGGCTTTCACAGTGGGGAGTGTAGCATAAAGCAACCAAAAGAAATGCTGAAGAAAGGGGTGTGTTTTGAGCTGGCAACTTGCAGAAGATGAGCAACTTTGGCCTGTTGATCCCTCCTTTCTGCCTTTGCATGTTATACTACTTTCAGAGGATGATTTCACACCTCCCTATCCTAAAAATAACGTTTGTGATTTTTTTACTTCCAGGTTAGAGATGGGAATAGGAATACAGGGAGAGAGTATTGTCTATTATCTGCTTTCCCTCTTCCCCTTTTTTCTCTAGCAGCTCATTGTTTGATAGCCCTGTGCTGGTGGGTGTTTTCCTATACTCTAGGGGGTTTCAACCCCATGACTTAAGAAATAAGGATGTTTTAATATAGTAAAGGAATACTTGATTCATTTGTAATGAAGCTGATTTGCTTTTCATGAAGTCTCTCAATCCCTGAGGGATTCCAGATTGCCCATCTGTCTGTACCTTCAAAGCATGTTCTGGTCCATGTTCCCTCCTCCTCATGCCCTATTCAACTTTGTGAAGCAATAGCACCTCACATTGTCAGTCAAAAAAATGTGCTTTCTATGGCAAGTAAGTAGGTCTCTGCCACCAACAATTTGCCAAGTTTGCTGTTGCTAATATTGTGATTTTTTTATTATTATTATTATTTTTTTAATAGCTGTGAATATTTGAACCTAAGAAAGGCCACTTGTATCTCTTTTTTTAAAATCAAAGTGCTATAAGGCCCCCAGTAGTATATTCTGTGAGCTGAGTGATACAAATTGGGTAGGAAACCGCAGTGGAAATGCTGCATCTGTTTTATGTATACAGTTTGAACTAGACCTGTGCTGTCAGTAAGTGAAACTAGGTATGTATGTACACATGTAACATTACACATTGTACATATGCACAAGAGTCCTCTTTCCAGTTTGATTTATAGACACGGAGCTTCTTGTTTCAGCAAATGCCTTTCTCCAGCAATCCCCAGTGTTTGTTACTAAGAACTGGACATGTAATTAACTGGTGCTAGAACAGCCAAGACACTGTCAGAAAAGGTTACAGGAAACTCATTTTTGCCCTCTCAGTTGGAATCGCAAATACACCAAACACTACTGTTAGGAGATTCTTGTAATTATAGGTGTTTGCTTTGATCAAAGATTTGGTGCACAGTCTAATACTGTATTATTCTTCTTCATTTTAAAAATAACTACAGTCTTTACTATGAAAACCAGCCTAACTAAATTACTGTGAGTGCTATCATGAGGGCTCCAGACTGAGATGAAATGGAATCCCATTTTAGAAATTTCAAACCTAAGTGGTCAATTTCAGAGCATTTACTTGTCATCCTGAAGTGCCAAATACCTGTAACCAGCAGCTAATAGGCATTTATATTTTCTTTAAATTTGTTAAAGACTACATGCTGCTTTTCCTTTAGAAATGATCTAAAACTGAACAAGCACCAAATGCACAAAATGAATTAGAAACCCAATTCAGAATTGATCCTCCCTGGTCTCCTAATTAAAAGGAGTACTAGCTTTTGTATTTTCTAGGGGCTGATTTGCCACCTCTCTCCTCAGCAAACGAGGTTTTCTTTTCCATTGTGAAATGCCTGTCTTATTTCTTGCCTCTGTGTATTGGGACACTCTTGAGTACTTAAAGTGCATGGATTCTTAGCTGAAAGCTTGAACACTGTCACACTGGGGATCACTTCTAGCAATATTGATACTTCCCCATATTTGCTGCTACCCAACCTTTGGCAGGAATATACTTACCCAGGTAAGCTAGGTGCTCCCCCTACTTCATTAAAGAAAAATATATGCAATGTAGCTGTAGCTTGGCTAAAATAGATGCAGAATAAGTTTCCTACTGAAGATAACAGTTTAAATATAAGGTGGGAATTACTGGTTGCTACTTCTTCCTTGCATGATCTGGGAGAGGGTTTGCCACTCTGATTAGCTGTTAAGCTCCCATCAACCTTACTTTAATTTTAGTAATTCGTAGCTGCAGTCAACCCTAGGGGAGCCAAAAGCAGTACTGATGGGTGTTTGGCCTGAACAAAAGTCTGTTTCTGCTTTGGTCAAGAACCCTGCTGGATAATCACTGATAAAATTCATTGTGTATATGGGTGTATATATATATATTTTTTTTGTACTGAAACTCCTCAAATTAAGTATACAGCAGGTCCTGTACTTTGCCTCTTGCTTTAACCTTACCCTAAGTGAAATGCATGCAAACACTGGAAGCATTCTTACTATTTTACAGCACAAAGTTAGACTTTGATTAGAACTAGTGTATGGTACTCAAAACAAAAAGAAAGGTGACAGCTAACAAACGAAAGTAAAAAGCGCCCCAAACTCTTTCCTGCCAAAGGTCACATTACTGGCTTTGTTCTTCATGGAACTGGAATGTGAAAATCTGTGACCAAGACTATCCCTTCCAAGCTGAGAAAGGAAGAAATACTCTTTTTATCTGTCTCAGTCTCCTGTGTAGTTTCCTTTGTTCACTGACCCACTGTTTCACCTGTGGGCAGAGAAATCAGAAATGGATACAGTTGTGCCCAGGAAAATGCATGTCAGCCTTTGTTACTGTAAGAAAGTTTTAGAAACTTAAATCTACCATTCTTAAAAGCCAGCCCATTTAATTCTCTTCAAATGATTGTGTACTTACAGCACCTTTTTGTTGGATGGATGGGAATACTTAAGAATCAGCTATCAGCCCTTTCTATTCAAGGCCACATGCACCAAGAACTATGGTTTAATTAGCTTTATCTTAAAGGCAATGAACAGATGTTTTTGAAAAAAATGAGAAACAACTGCTATAATAAAAACAAATTGTACTTAAGATCTGGCTTGTAGACTTTTCTAATAATCATTCTATAATAACTGGGGCCAATTTGTGAGTGCATTTCAAATACAAGTCCCAAATTATCTGATCTCTGTAGTTATGAGCTTTGCTATGAAGAACAGATAATAGCAATCTAGTCCTTAACACGTCTTCTGTACTTTAGGGTCAAGTATGATTATTTTTGCTCTTTCATTTCAACACTTCTGCTGCTAATAAGACTGTGTGATACTTTTGCCCACAACAACAGTGAAGTGAGTTGGTCAGCACTTGAGAAGTATGAAGCCTATGTTAGCAGTAAGCCTGTTACTTGTGATTTATTTTTTTTTCATTAGAAAAACATACTCCTCCTAGATCAGTGTTCTGGTTGAAATAGTCAGGAACATGAGAACTTAAAGATGCCACTCTAAACCAATCCTTGCTTTTGGTGAATACAGGAAGCTGTTTCATGATTGTTTTCTTTAAAGTTCCTCTATTTATGTTCAATTAAATTGGAGACATATCTAAGATGGTTACTGATAAAATGTAATTTTATTAAATTATAAATTCCGTAACAAAAACAAGACGGATCAAGAAAGACCTCAAAAACAGAACTACAAGGACTAGATGGTAAAGCCGATGAAAATGCCATGAAGTGTATAGGTAAGAATTTGCAACAAAAGTTAACAGCATTTTTACATTTCCATTGAAGGAAGGTAAATGCTTGCTCTTTGCCTAGTAAAAACACATTTTAACTCCAAACTCACATCTATTTTTCTCACATTAAATTAAGCATCCTGCTCACACCCAACATCGTGTCTGCTCCCACGTTGCTTTAGTGTTCTTTTCATACATCAATCCATGCAGAAAGTAGTAAGACACTTAATGCAACAATCAGATAATGAAGACAATTCAAGTTGTACAGTAGATATACATTGGCCAAAAAGGGATAGAGTATCTTCAAGGGCAAAATGCTACAAAATAAACACAAGACATTTTCAAGAAAACCGGGTATTGCTAAGCAGCTTTCAAACCATTAACAGGACAACCCAGTTTCTTACAGTTAGTCTTCCAGCTAAGACATGTTAAAAGACTTAAGTTAGGCCAAATCTGCTGCTTCCCTTTGCCCCACCCTCCCACCAAACACACTGCTAGGTCTGAGTGCAATGCCAACGTGGACAGAAAATTTACAGATAGGAGACTGAGTTTTTAAATTGCATGGCTCCAGATTTACACTTCAGTGACTGTGCACTGTCCATCTGGCCTCCTAGATCTTACACTTGCATTTGCCACCCCTCCCCCTGCCACTGGTCTATCCGCTCCAGGCTGGTTTGTGTTTGCATTCAAGTGTCTCTGCTGGGCAGAGGATGGATGTTGCTGGAGGGGATCAGACACATCCTCGCTATCGCTGCTAGCATCCGATTCAGTCTCCTCCACAGAGGTGTCAGGGGCTGGTACCCTACCAGAAGATGATGATTCGTGGTCCTCCTCTCCCTCTCCTCTATGACTCCTTTCAGCCATACTGTCTCCATTTATTTGTAAGTGGGCAAAAGAGTTCTCCAGAGAAGTGCTTGCATCAGGAGAGGGTGTCGAAGGACTCACAAGCTGACCATCCAGTGATGGCAGGGGCCTAGCAGAAACAGGCACCAGAGGCTGTACAGCTGCAGCCCCTCCAGTCAGTGTGCTGTCTGCACCATCAGCAGAGCTCTCTCGTGCCAGGTTGACACTGTTACTGTCACAGTCCAACCTAAGCCCAGCCACTCCCTTCTTTGGTATATCTATTATGTCCCGTTTTATTTTTCTGCGCCGTCCATGCTCATTTCTCCTATACTGAACCATGTTTTCCAGATCTGCTATGTACAAAAACCCAGCAATTAGCATTTCAGTGCTCTTTTTACCCTTGGAAAAGGCATCTTCCAGCTCCCTGCTGGTACGTTCATCATACTGCCACCAACCATTTCTTCCTTCATAGTACCAAGCGTATTCTCCATTGCCTCTGCTTGCTGCTTTGAGTTCTTCTGGTGATAATAGAGTTGGCTTGTCAAGAAAATCCTCTGGGATCTCCTGCCGGCAGAGTGCACAACGTTTCCCAAGCCAAGAAGCTCCCTTGACACATAGATAGCAGAACACGTGTTTACAAGGCAGACTTACTGGATGGACACACGTTTGCAGACAGATAGCACATTCAGGGACTGTCAGGGAAGGTGCAGCATTAGCACACGACTCATTTGTCTTCCTGTTTGTGGGAAGCATGTTGATTGAATGATCTATTTCACCACAGCCAGCCATCCTGCAGAAGATCAAAGAGAGGCTTAAGTCAGTTTATTGTGTCAACCTAAACTAGGGCCTTTACCTCGCAGTCCACATAATGAGATGTTTGCCTTATCTTAAGGTGAGATATCGTTTATGAAGCTCAACTTCTGAAGAAACTGACACAGGTTAGCATCCTGTTTCCTCAGTCAACAGACTAAGCTGAATTTAGGGAGAATTTCTTTTGTAATCACTAAGCTTTAATTTTCTGCTTCGTTTTTAATAAAATACCGTGCCAAGCTTTGAAATTTCCTCTGTCCTCTTCTCGAAGCAGTACTGATTGATGAACTTCATGCAGCCTAAAGGCACTACAAAATGTCCAGCCATTTTGGAGCATCCTCAGAAAATTTAAAGAAGCTATGATTCTTTTCCCAAGGGGGTAACTTAACCACAGATCCATCTAATTTCACAGTACTGGGGTTCATCAGTTTGATTTGTGGATTATTGGAACAGTCCTTCAGAGTAGGGTCCCATAGTACAAAATGAATTTGGCAGAAGCACCAGACTGTATTCCCACTCTGTTAGTCACCATACACCCCAGTGTACTATTCCTGAGACTGCTTTGCAACAGCCACAGGGCTACAGAAAGAACTGGATTTGAAAACTGAAGTGACTTTTTCAAAACATATCTTGCATTTCTTATTCCCAAAGAGCAGGTGAACTCGCTGATTTACCTCAAAAGGAATTGTTCCAGCCCAGAAGAAGGGGTAGTATATCATAGGAGATGAAACACACAGCCAGAATCTGATTAGTTTGTGAACTTCCTTCTCTAGTCATGCCTTACTTCTGTCATTAAAGATGATTTTTCTAACCAACTCTATGAAAAGTGAGGATAAGACCAAAGAATGCATAACTGTGCTGCTCTGTCATTTTGTAGCAGTTCAATAGGTGAAATACTCTAGCTTTAACATGCAAAAAACTGCTTAGAGATGTTTTAGTCATGCCCATCTTTTTACACATTGTTTCATAACAATTTTCCCTTTATATTCTTACATATTAGCAATCAAAACAAAACACCAAATATCAAATGAGGGAGAAAATGGGGCCTGAGAAGTTACCTTTTCCATATTAAATCTCCAAGGAATTTGGTAGAATAGGGCTCATATTTAGCAAAATAGCCTTCTGGTAAAACTAGTCTTTGCTGTATTAACAATTGAGAATGGCTAAACCAAAATGATCACAGAATCACAGAAAGGTGGGGTCGGAAGGGACCGTCACAGGTGATGCAGTCCCAGTCCCATCTCCTGCTCCACATGATCCAACCAACAGTTCTAGATCTGGCCAGTCATGGCTTTGTCTAGATCAGTTTTTTGAAACCTGCAAGGATAGTTGTATCACAGTCTGCCCAGGCAGCCTGTTCCAATGTTAGACATACTTCTAGCAAAACACTCAGGAGAAAATCTCCATTGTTAACTGTGAAAGCCTTGTTGCTTTACACAAATATCGCTGGGCTATTAAAAAAAAAAAACCAAACACATCATTATAAATATAGATACAGAAGCATATATAAGTGCTATTTACTTAAAATGTCTCTCTCCATACTGTTTCCTTCTATCACTGTAATTTCTCTCGAAAAAGTCCAATGCCTTTCCCTAATCCAATTATTTTAATCAAACTATTTTTAAAAGCTCTACAGCTCATATTTTTCCCTGAAGTAGCACATAATTGTGTCCATCTATGTTTCGGTTTTGTATCTAAATTCTTCTCTGAGATTAAACCCTAATCTGTGTGCTAGTTCTTCATTCAGCATGCCAGCTGCAGACACGGCTCTACCTGGTAATTGTCTTTACTGTACAATACATATACATGTACAAGATCCATGCTAGCAGTGTTGAGAACAAGTTGCTTTCTGACAGTCTCACACATTTCAAACAAAACTTTACAACAAAATTCGTTTTTTGTTTTGTTTTTATGATGAGAAACTTGTTAGAAAAAGGAAAGAAGAAAAGCTATTTGAATTTCAGAGTACCCATGGATACAATTCGATCAGTGTCTCACAACAAAAGAGCTGAAAGAGAAATCCATGTATCGATTGATTTCTGCCAACCATGGCTGAGGAATAAAGATCTGAATTTTCAAATGTTCCCATAATGACATATTACTGTGAGAAAAGGCACAGCAGCTGAGATTTGTTTCCACGCTGCAGTTTTACAAAAGGCTTCCTTCCCTTAAATACATTTTACAAGCTTGTCTGCTTCAATTAAAAAAGAAACAACCAGAAGATTAGTAACCACTGTATAAACTATGTATCATAATTAAGAATTTGCAATCTGCTGAGATCAAAAATCAGTTCATTTTGACAAATCAAATTGTACCTGGTATCATAAGTTAACTCAAGTAAACTAAAAGCAGTGAGTTCTCACCTGTTCACTGCGCAATGCTGTAACACCTGAGCTGTGTTCAACTGGTCACCTATTAATCTGAGGGTTCTCTGGTTCTTTAACAGATCAAAACCTTAACACAACACAGCACATGAACGTAAAGAAAGGATAAATGTCTTATCTTTAAAGTCTTCAGTGATTTTTAATGACTTGGAAGAAAACACTGTGTGCACAATTAATACAGTTAAGGAATAACTCTTTATCTCTAAGCAAGCACTACCCAGCAACGTAAACTCTTAATAAGAGATAAGACAACTGCAGTTGCATGTGCTCAGAATGCAGGACAATTATGCATCTGAAGATTTAGATGAACTAAACTGAGGCTGTCTCCCTTTTTGTTTCTAAAGAAAGATCCTAATTAATCCTTTATTGATAACCTATTTAAGTATCAGACCTAGTTCACAGTTGGTTTATAAGCAAGTGTGATGACATATATGCAGATTTCTATCAAACAAGTACTCCCTTAGAAAGGAGGAAAAACATCTAGGGCTGCTATTCTGCTAAGCTATGACTGTGGAAGCACTTTTTTCCAGCTCTGCGACATTAATAACTAAATACAACTGAGTACAGACTACTTTCCCTGAAATTAACTTTAGAACAAGACTTAACCAAAAAAGTCTTCATATTAAAATGGCTTTCAAATGCTAAAGTTCTGCTTTTTTGAAAGTTGAGTTCCTTTAATCATTTTGGGAAGAAGGGAAAATTACATTATTGAATAAATTAAATCAAACTCATCGACGCTTTCTAAAAATAAGTATTTTGATAATCAGTTCAGGTATAAAAAAAAAAAGAGAGCAACAAGCATTTCAGCACTGCGTTTTAACACAAATACAGCCCAAAGCCAACTGAGAAGAAGCTGGCTTACAGTCTTGCCAGATCTCACATCCTCTCCTCTCGCCTCTATTATCTTTTTCTTTTAAATTAGTATTTAAACCTACATTTCACTGAGTAAGCTTAGGGTGCCTTCAGTAGCACACAAAGTATGCTGCTGTGGACCAGGTAATGCATAGGAGCTGTATGAGAATTCCCCTGGCCTACTGGGACTCCGTCAGAAGAAAAAGTAAATTCCCATAAAACCACCCAAAAACAGAGTAATTTTTCGGATTCCAGGTCAAATTCTAACTGCAAGCAGGCATTCTGTCAAGGAGCTGGCACATATAAGTCCATTCATAAAACAGCAGCTTACTTCTTCTAAGAAATTTCTACTGGAGCATGCCACAGGACTAAGGTGTCCTCTCTTCAGATGTCTCCAGCTGCGATGGCAGGTCCTCCTTCCAAAGGCTGGCTCATTCCTGACTTGTCTTGCCCAATGGTACACTACTGTTTCAGCTTCTCTGCACGCTACTGGAAAGCAAACAGTATTGCCATTACAACAGTGTTGTACAGAGGTACAAGCAAGCAAAACACACCACCATGGTCCTGTTACACGAACGGAATTACTATTCTTATAGCCTGACAAAGGCTATTTTCAATGTACAGAAATATCACCATCAGACTTTGTCTTATTTTTTTTCCCCACGGTTTGACGTCAATTATTTTGACGTCTTAATTTACACAAGTTATCATTTCCTAAAGTATTACAAAAGGCAATTATCTTTAGCTATATTAAGTCAATGCCTTGTTTCCATAAAGTAACTATGTACACAAAAGGAGAAATGAGATCAAAGATAGGAGTATGTTATGTTAATGCAAATTTAATTTCTAGTATATGACTTCTGCCATTCTGGAAGTTTAGAATGTAACAACAGCTACCCAAATACATATGCAGAAAGAACATTTCATACCACATTATCCCAAAGGACTATCTATCTAGTCTTGTATCTTGTCTCGAAACAGGCAGGTGTCCGAGGAGAAAACAGTGCATGTGAACATGGGACTTTCCCTAGGCACTCTCCACAATTCAAGCAGTCTGTTGACTAGGGCCTTCCTTATAACATTTGCTCAAGGAAAGAATCATTTCAGCATAAAAGCAGTGCATATCAAACTAACGTACAGACTAGAGAGAAATGGAGGATCAATAACTCCCTGACTGAACATGGAACACTTTGCATTATAGTCTTCTGTGCCACAGTCTATCCAACGATTGAACACTTATCATTAATAACGCTGGAATGAAATGTTCAGATGGCTTCTAAGACACATTAGTCAAACATTATTTTCTTTACAGCTGAGCTTCACGTGGCATTCAGTGCAGCTATTTTTAGAGACCATTCCTAAGGAAAAAAAAAAAGCAAAAATTAACGTGCCTAACCATTTGTCCTAGCACCTTTTCAAAAGACAGATCTCCCCTCACCATTTCTTTACACATCAATCTGGAGAGCTGCAATCACATTAAAATTCTGGCTCTACTAATCCGCTCAGAAAAGATACGGTGTTTGCTATGATCAAAGAGACAGCTGCAACAAGCTCAGTGCTGTGAATGTGGCGTTCAGTCCTTCATCTTAGGGCTGGCTTTCTATGGTACATCTGTGGGCTTCACTCGAAGTCTTTTATCTATTACCTCTTGCAATCCGCTATTAGAGGTAGCACATTGTGAGACCAAATGTTATGTGGAGATGGGAGAAGGAGGTTGGGTCATTTCTGACAGATTTCTCAGGGAAAAAAATGTGTGCACGTACTTAACGTATGTAATTATACCTAGAAGAATCCAATTAGGGCATAATTATAGGATTATGGCACAGCAACTTCATAATTGCTGCACAGCTATTAGAAAGAACTAGTTCACATACTGACTTCAGGTAACCTCCATGCTTCATTACATTGTTATTTATTTAATAAGCCAGTCCTGGAAATTTTACTAAATGGGATAAAAGATGCTTGTGGTTACACACACACCCCTTCCTGGACTCTGCTCCTTTGAAGTGAAGTGGCTGAGAGCTGCGTTCTATACATAGCAATTAACTTCCTACGCTAGAAGAACATCTCATACAAGGAGTTACGCTACCTGCGGCAACCTGCGTGCGTCCCTTCCTCCTGTGCAGTCACCAATCCCACGAAGCCTATTGCACACCGACTCTGAAACACAGCCCACAACAGATGAAGGACAATCCCACTCACTAGGAATAGGAATTCAAACTTGGCATCACCAGCTGGGCAACAACTGGTCCCACACTGCGGCTCAGCCAGCGTTAACCACCCCTTGTTTCCTTGGAAGGCTGTCAGGACGCCTGCTGGGGGACCTTGTGCCAGTTTCTTCCCACACCATGTTAGGATGCTGAAGCGATGTTCCCCCTAGCAGACCTGACATCCAAAAATGGTACGAGGTCTTCTTTGATAAAAGCATCAAGCTTTTACTAAGCCAAGATGGAGTGAAACCATCTCTTGTCAGATCAGTTGGCTGCTGCCTATCAAATTCCCAGTAGCCCATCATAGCCAGGACAATTTTTTCACTTTTCTACTATTTCGGAGACATGAGTGACATGAGTGAAGGAAAAATAGCAACAACAAACAGATTTCCAGAAACTTACACAAGAAGCCAATCCTAAATGTAAGTGCAGTGTTTGTTACTGACGACCCTAGGAAATCTTTGTAAATAAAGTTTAGCTATTTAGAAAAAAAAACAAAAACACCACTGGTAAATTCAACTAAAGCCAGCTTCTCACTTGCTGAAGGCTATCACTTAAAACCTTGCCTCAAATGAAAGGTGATCTCACAAGTTCTGCAACACCAGACAGACCACTTTACAACAGTTACCACAAACTCATCCTTTGTCTGCCAGAGGCTGAAAATTGAACAGGTGCAGCACTACAAAGGAAATGATAACAGGTAAACGTTCTTCTGTGATTCAATACTTGACTGTTACCATCAGGCTCCCTACATATATCTCAGTTACTGAGGAGGTGGGGTGGGGGAAGGTAGAAGCAGGAGAAAAAGGATCCCAGAACTCTTCATACAGGACAGCATGAGCCAAATACTGGGAAAGGAAGGAAGGATGGTGGTGGTTGCTTTACGCAGGTGGTGTTCTGTTTCATAAGAGAGAAAAAAATAATAATAATAAAAAAATTGCTCTCCCATCTGTAGGCCTATTATCATCGATACAGTATCAGCTAAAGGTATGGAATCTATCTGGTATTTCTGTAACTGCCAGCAAGCATTGGACTGCACAGCAGGTAAATAACCTCACTGCCTCCTCTCTCTCTTAAACTTAGAATACTTTCAGAAATCACTGATGTGATAATGCTTCAAATTCCCTGTCGTCCCTTATACAGCATTACTACACGTTAATTTAAAAAAGCCTATATATATCGGAATGGATCAGAGTTACAGAAAAACAGTCAAGTGCAGAACAGTCAACCATTTTGGTACTAAACTGCTACACAGTTATTCAAAATGAGTTTCTTCTGCTGTGCTATAACTGGGACCCCGCGTCCTATTTCATTTTACTTAAGTGAGGAAAACCTGTTTTGTACTCAAATAAGAGGACAGTGACAAAATTCCTGTGGGAAAACAAAGCAAAAATGGGCAGCTGAAGCTATCAACGTTTCTGAGAGAGAAATAAAGCACAGGAACACTGAACATGCACAGAAGGAGAAAAAAACTCATCAATTCCAAGAAAGATTTTTCCCCAGCAACTCCAAGAGCCTTCCAAACCTTATTCAACTCCAAAAGTCCTGCAGCTCCATCTCTCTGGGCAAATGACAATTCCATTACATCTACACCAATGCCGTGGATTTGAAAGGAAACAAAAAGAACAAAACTTTCACTCAGCCACTTAAACAACTGGTACTTCGGTTTGCTTGGAAAGAAGCCACGTTAACTGCATAGGGCTATAAAGCAAGCCTGCACAAACATCAAATATTTAAGATTTACTCCAAGTGACCAAATCAATATTCAGATTTTAACATGCCTTCGGTACAACCACAAGTGATCACTTTTGGCGGTGCGTTTTCAGAGGCACTTTAAGGCCTAATTTTAAGCAACCCACTGCCCAGAGGCAGCAGCTAACAACGCCACAGCGCTGTACCTTCAGCACGACCGATGTGACAGAACACTTTAAAGCTCCGCTCCCTTTTCTTCCTTGTCATTACCCAGCACACTGCACGCTGCGCTCCCAGCAACAAGCTCTACACTATTTCTCCTTCACACCGCAGGAAAGTTATGCGAAGACGGAAATAAGATGCTTTGATTGGGGTTTCTTCATATGCGGAAAGCAGACATCCACAGCGTGAGAAATCTCGTATTTACCGAGTATTTCGCAATAATTTCTCAGCGGTGACGATACGTATAGCACCAAGCGCAAGACCTATTTTTTCATCCCATTTTATCACTCCCGAAGGATGCAATTAAAAACCTCGAACCCGGACCGTCAGCCACAGAGAAACAAAAGCATCTGGCGGCACCGCTCGCAGCTCCTCACGCGCTTCCTGTCGCGCTCGCCGACATTCCTCGCTCCCCCTCCGGCTGCGAGGCTCCGGCGCTGACAGCGGACGGACGGCAGCCGAGAGCCAGCCCGCTGCCCGCCCGCCCCTCCACCAGGCCCAGACCGCGGCCCTGCGCGACCGCGCACGGCCGCCTCCTCCCTCGGCGGCGAACAGCGGCGCCGCTGGACGTGGGCCTCTGCCCGGACCCGAGGGCGGCACCCGCCGGTTCTCCTCCGCCGCAGGGCGCAGGGCCGCGGCAGGCCCGCTCCGCCCGCCGGCCTTTTGTCTGGGGCCGGCGCCTACTTCCCGGCCAGATCTCGGCTCCCGCCCCGGCCCCGATCCCGCTGTCAGCGCGGCCACTGGTCCCCCCACCCGCTCCGGGGACTCACCCGCCGGGCCGAGCCGGCTCGCGCCGCTCCGCCGCCACCTGCCGCCGCCTCCGCGGGACGCGCTGACGTCACGCGCGGAGCAGAGCGGGGGAGGCCGCGCCACCGTGACGCCGCGGATCGGGAGGAGCCAAAACCGGCTCCGCCGCTGGGGGGGGGGGCGCGCGCGTGTGACGCCATGGCGCCGCGCCGCCACACCCCGCTCTCGTGGTGCTGCCATGGCGACGAGGCCTGCAGCGCACCCTCACCGCAGCTTTTGTGGGTTCGGCGTCCCCATCGAACGGAGGTTATAGGAAAATAAAGCGCCCTGGATAAGGTGTTCTTAGTAACAAATAAATCCGCGTCTGTGTTTCAGAGTCTGACAGTTTAGTTCGTTTGAGAAAGTGCAGTAGTGAAAGCAGGGTTTCATTTTACTCTCCGTGAAGAGATGGTTAAAGGCAATATCAGGTTATGCTGTAGTGGGTAGCCGAAGAACGGTGCCTGCAATAACATCAGCCCTCATTGCCAGCTTTTATTTCAATCCAAACACATGTTGTGTGCACATCTCTTTCTGTACTAGCTGCTGTAGCACCAGCACATTTACCCTGGTTCTGCAGTG